AGCATAAAACTTTTTATTAGAAGCCGATCGTCTTCGTATTTCCTTTCAAATAACGTACTCCCAAAGCTCAATGCAGCAAAACTTAAAAGAAACTTACAATTCAACTGAAAACAAAAGATTAACATAAAGGAGTACTAACATAAAATCAAGTTTCAACTTGAGGTAACAAAACTAAGACGCTAGATGACGTAGTGGTTAGAGCTCGTGAATTCTTAAATCCATAATCTAAAGAACCAGTTAGAACAAAGCTGCTTTTTCTCAACTTTCAAGCTACTTCCTTAAGACAAAAGCTTCTAGAACTAAATAATTGAGATTTATTTTGTACTAGCATATAGTACAGCCTGCGTCTATATTCGCGCAGTCAAATTATGTATGTTAACAGGGCCGGATTTAACCTTAGCGCCGCCCCTGGGCATAATAAAAAATGCCGCCCTATTATCGAAATTTTGAATAAAAGCTGAAAGTTTATTTTTTTTATTATTATTATTATTTTGAAAAATGCAATACAATAATTTATATATGATATCATTTTGTCGATAAATGTACCTATTAATTCATATTTTTTTATTTTTCATTTTTTGTAAAATAAAAAAAGACATTTTCGATAACGCGAAGAAAATTTTTTCTCACCCTCCGAATTTTGCCGCCGCTAATAATTTGCCGCCCTAGGCACTAGCCCCTAGTGCCCCTAGTGTAAATCCAGCGCTGTATGTTAAACAGAATAACTCATCTTTGTCTTTAGCAGCAAAAGCTTTCATAAAAACTTTTAACTAACGTTCAACCTGCCTACATATCTACTAGCAAAATCTTTAGCTTCATAGGTAACTCATTTTCCAATATTTTGAAAAAGATGACAGAAAACTCGGTCAAGTGCAAGACGGACTAGCACACGAAGTGTTGCGTACCATAATTGTTTAATTTTTTTAATTAAAAAAAAATAAAGTTTCTTTGGAAATTTATTTTTTATGCGTTACTGGTCCATCAAAGTTTAGGGGCATACATGAGCATAGCGGCAATAACTTGTTAGTTGATTATCAAACTATCGGCTAATAGAAAGTTAAGCTCAGAGCACAGTCTTATATTTAGATATGGCAACTACAAATAATAAAGAGAACGGTGCGCCAATCTTTTTAAAATACGTATTTTCTTTGAATCCAACTAAAATGTTCTCGTTGTTAGTTTAGATTACCAACATTTATACATTTATATGTAAAGCGTTGGTCAATATAAGGATTATTCGATTTAGCTCCATGTCCGTTCGAGATTTTTACACAGGAAATTGAATTCTTCCACGTTCGCATATAAATTGAGCTTCGCTTAAGCGAGTCTATTTGTTTTACTTGGAAACTTCTCAATGCATACCTCGAGCGTAATTTCATAAAAGTTTTATTTTATTACAGTAAAAGATAGAAAATCACTCCATAAATATTTTATAGCGTCGTTATACGACGAAAAAAATTGCCTTAACGTCACATTTTTTTACTATCAATTTAAAATTATTTAGCCCGCTTTCAGGTGACCAGAAACCAAATTCTTAGGTTTTACATACAAGTATACTCTTACATTGCAGTTTGTGTATTTTTTCTCAGAAGTGAGATATTTTCATCAAAATCCCTCCAGTGGTTTTTCTGGGATGCTTCACAAAAATTCTAAAAACTATAGATTCGGCCTCTGTATCGATAATAATGCTTATTTCAATAAGATTTTCCAAAAAATATTTAATGTACAGATTCAGCTTAGTTACAATTTTATTACCTATATGTATAGGTATCCGCCATAACAACACTCTAATTCTATAACGTTTCAACTAGGGTAAAAGTAAAATAAAATATTTATACTTGAAATATTAATCTTTGAATCATAATATCAATTTTATTGATACTAATAATTTTGCTGTTAATAAAATAAATATTGCAGTCTCACATATTAAGAAATAATATATATAAAAAAAAACATTTTTAAACACAAACTTTTATAACATATAAATTGTGTAATGTAATACTCGTATGGGATTGATTTAACTTAAAGCTATTTTTTTTGTTATTTATTCGTATTTTCTCAGGAAACCTTTACATTTGATATCCTTATCATGGGGGTGCATTAAAAAACATAGTCCGCCATCGATGGGAGTCCGCCATGTTGGATTTAGAGTGACATCACTTATCTAACCATACATTGTCCTCTAAACTAAGCGTGTAAGAAAAATTTTAGCTCAATCGGTTGAGGACAACTGCTTTAAAATTTAGTTGCAAGTTTTGTCCCTAACTTACATTGCAAGTTAAATAAAATCTGGTAAAATAGAGTTAAGTTTACGGCCGTTTAACTATCAAAGCGTGCAATCGAAAAATATAATATTCCTTTATCTTAAATAGTGCTCAACGGAAATTCTTAAAATAACTTTTGTTCAAAGATTTTTGGAAACTATCTCAAGAGCACAAACTTAGAAGCATATACCTACACGACAACAATTTACTTAAATATAAAGTCCTTTTGGAACATTTACGTATCTCATTTAATATCACAAGATTATTTGCACTTATAGATGAAACATCTAACTTTCAAATATGGAGGATATTTGAAACTTAGATTTATCATTTATACTCCCCGAGTAACACGACTGTTGCACACAGATGATGGTTCTGTTATGGGCTTTTGGTTAAGGAACCCTAGAAATGCTGATAACTAGTATAATCGAATGTATTTTTATTTATTTTATATAAGTTTTCCAACCCAAATGCTAAAACAGCGCCCTTAAAAAAAACTTATTCTCAACGTGAGCAAGCTAACTCGTTCATCTACCAGGTTCGATTATGTACTTTGCTGTAATCAGGATTAACCTTTAAGCTTGGTTTGGTATGTAGCAGTAAACCTGAGTACCACTAATATTAAACCACCAACGGGTGTATTGTAAAAGGGGATTTCAGTACATTAGTTATACGAGGTTTGTACTTTATGTTAAAAGTTTCGATTGGTTACTTACATTATTCAGATACTACAGGTGTATTCATTTTAGCGATCAAGTGGGTTCTACTATAGGAAATATAAATTGTAAGTATGTAAAATTAATGCAAATAGTATCTAAAGATTCTACTAAAATATTTTGTACTAACGACTTATTCCCGCTTCGCTCATGTGACTGAAATATTTTCCCGCATTGCTGATAGTTATTTCTGATTAAACAATCAAAATATTTATTACATACTGCTATTGGATAAAGAAATAAAACTATCTTTTCGGATTTTTTGATTTTTGGTTCCCGACGTTTCGAATGCTTTACAGCAATCATGGTCACGGAAGAGACCTTTTTATTTAAAATGTTAAATATTCGCGTAAAAGAAAGAGGTAAGAAAGTATTAAATCAAAGTATTAAAATTATAGAGACCGATGATGGCTCTAAAGCATTCGAAACGACAAGATCCAAAACCCAAAATAAATCCTTAAAAAAGCCGAAAAGGTAGTTTTATTTGAAATGTCAAATATTCGCGTAAATCTAAGAAAGTATTATTTGGATAAAGAAATTGAATAATATTAATTAAAGCACGCGAAGCAATACTTGTGAAGTGAAGCTTTATAAGCAATATTTTATGAACCGTGTGATATTACAATAACCGTTATAATATTCATGTTATAATTAGATTGCTATTGTAGTATCTAGGTACAAATACCATTTATGCCAGACTGATACAGCTGTCATCTTGGAAGTGCTTAAAATAAAAAATAGGTTAAAAATATGCGAAGTACTAAATAAGGTAAATAATGTAATGTTGTCAGCAATATTATAAGTAACTAAAAAAGAACAAACAGAGCTATCCCACGGGAACCGTTTATTAATTGGGGATAAAAAATAACCTGTTGTTTGACCGGCAATATAAGGCATCAGCATGCCAAATTTTACTAAATTAGGTGCATAAGTTGTTGTGTACTAAACTGTATAAGTTGCTATAGTTTTTTAACTATTCCACGGAACTCTTTAATTTTCCGGGATGAAAAGTATCGAAAATATTGATCGGGGATATAAGGTACCACCATGCATAACTTTATTTAAATCGGTATTACAATTTCGGAGATTAGCCCGTACAACAGACAAAAAAAAATGAAAAAATCTGTATTTGTTCTATTTCTCTTCTTACATCTGACTCGATTTTCAGCATTTTTTTCCATGGACAGACATTCGACTTCTACAGTTCTATTATATGTATAGATTAGAGAGCATTCTAGGCATAAATTATTTGTTTATAATATCATGGAACTAAAAATTACAAATGGTTTAAACTAGCGAATATATTTCTCATACGACATACGTCTACAAACATCGTGACATACATCTTAATCGGTTGAAATCGGTGGAAATGCAAATAAAAACCACGTGAATAAATTTTCATTATTTATTGAATTATCATTAAAATCCTGTACTTTTACCATTACGGAAAAATTATCTCCATAATTTTTGCAACACTAATATGAGTAAAAATAAGTAATGTAACTTATACTTGTTTTTTTTTCTTTAGTGGCTTATAGTTGCGTTAACAGACGCAATACATTGTGCCAGTGTCACGTATTGTGAGTACACGAATGAGTTTGAGTGGTAATTTTGAAATTTTGCAGTTTTAACTTGGAATTAAAACTATAAACGAATAATCGGTCTACAGGAGCAATCTATAACAAAAAAAAATTTAACTAGGCAATACAAAAATAGCACAATTATTAAAAATGAAAATACGATACCCAGTCTCTCCCGTGACCATGGATGCTGTAAAGCATTTGAAACGTCAGGAACCAAACATCAAAATAAATCCGCGAAATAATCCGATAAGATAGTTTTATTTAAAATGAAAATACATAAATATTGAGAACTATATTAATTTTAATTAAATGGGCTAAACCCAAGGGCTAATAAATATTTGGTGTTAACTTGCTTATACTGGTAACTCTTAATTAAGCTTTATATATCACTATTATTTTTTCAGATGTCAGTGAAAATGACATAAGCGGATGTCACGATGAAGATCATAAGCCTGGTGTTGACACTTGTCTGTGTCGTCTCATTCAAGTTCACACACGCTAAAATAGGTAAGTTACAAACCTTACATTTTATATTTAACTAGCGACATATCGTTGCTTCATTCGCGTAAGTCTCTAAGCGTCTGTTTAATTTTAACTAAAAATTTAATATAATAAAATAATTTGCCCAATCTTTTCCTGTAGGTTGAGAGATTATCTCCTTCATTCAAACTTAGAAAATAACAAACTTTACCTCTTTATAATATTAGTGTAAACATTTCGCATAAAATGTTTTTTGTATGATTGCATGTTTAAGTTTCATGTTTTTAAGACTTTTGTTGTACCATAAGAAACTATATCATCTATACTAATATTATAAAGAGGTAAAGTTTGTGAGATTGTGAGTTTGTGACTTTGTAGGGGTGTAATCTCTAGATCTACTGAACCAATTAAGATGAAATTTGGTAAGAAGATAGTTTACGACGCTGGAAAGGACATAGAATACTTTTCATCCCGGAAAGCATTCCTTAAGGGGGTGAAAACGAGGATGAAAGTTTGCAAGGGAAATCAACACTAATATATTTTATAATTTCAATCAATTAGTTAAGCACTGAGGCGAAAAAAAAAACCTCCTTTTATGTGTTTTCAAGCAAAAATATATTCCATAAACAAAAATTTTAATTCAATATGAAATTAGTGAACAGGATTAATTATTATTTTAATTAACGTTTAACTTACAACCACACTTGCTCAGAACGTAATTAATTGTAGTTCACAATATAATGATATATTAGATCTATGACTATGTTATCAAATTAAGCGGAGGGACTCTTCAAAAGCAAAGTAGTTTCCATGCTGAACTGCTTAAGTGTATTATTATCTATGATTCTATACTAATACTAATTAATATTATAAAGAGGTAAAGTTTGTGAGTTTATGGAGTTTCTGAGATTGTGAGTTTGTGAGGTTGTAGGGGGTAATCTCTGTATCTACTGAATCGATTTAGATGAAATTTGGTAAGAAGGTAGTTTGAGACCTCGGGAAGGACATATGATACTTTTTATCCCAGAAATCATTCCTTAAGAGGGTGAAAATGGGGATGAAAGTTTGTATTGGGAAGCAAGCTAGGGACGAATCCGAGCGAAGCTAGCATGAGTCACTAGTGACTTATAAACAAAGATGAAGCTATTAGCCATGGAAAACGTTAAGGTCTGTCAGTTACATACATTGTTAGCCTCTAGTTTTTTTCGCGGGACCTCTCGGATGGTAGATATGTAGATAAAAAGTAGCTTATGTATATTATTATAATTTCATGATATAAACTCACTAAATAATTATATAGACGGAGTCCGTCAAAATAAATGTCAAAATCGATAATGGTTGCGTGATTTGTTGTTTATACTACTTTTATCAATTTTAAATATACATATAATACTATTTATACTTTTTTTTAAGAATAAGGAAAATTTTATATGTATAAGTTCAATTATACACTTTTTGAGAATATAATATAAATAATAAAAATAATGGCTGTTGCTATTCGTACTTAAAATAACGACAAATAAAAAAATATTATTTGCACTTTAATAGGACGAATAATAAATAAAAAAAAATTATAATAAAAAATATATTATTCGTCCAACTATTGTCGTTTTCTACGAATATTTACCACTTTTTTGTTTTCTAATGTAAAATAAGTATTTTTTTGGTGCAGGAGTTTCTATATACAAAAAAAACTTTAACCTATTGAGCTGGAAATTTATTCTTTAAATCCCAACGATTTTTAAGTTCAAGCGTTTTTAAGATTTTTTCACTTGCAAATACATTGCAAAAAGAACCTTATAACCTACCGAGCTACGTCGAACTGCTTATTCTACTTATTAATTAGTCTATTCGTCCTTCCTTATAATTAATATATTTTATAAAGGACGAATTAATTACGTTTTATTCGTCCTATTAAGGGGCGAATAGATATTCCGAAAAATAGAACAATGTTATGTTTTAAATTTTTTCAAGCATTAGTTCTAATTCCCTTGAAAAAGAGAGATGGCATCATATTAACTTTTCTTTTCTTCACTATAATACAACTAGCGGCTCTCCCTCGCTTCGCTCAGGTTTGTCGCTAGGTACGTTTTAAATAGATACAAATAGTTATTAGCCAGCGTTAGGCATATAATTTTTTTTTGTTAAAAATATTGACAAATATTGACATTAATATTTATATGATACTAACGTCACTCAATTGTTTTGCCTTCCCAGAACCTCTCCATTACCACTTAAACTTTATGTTATGGTATTAAAGTTCAAATTGACTTTTAAGTATTACTACGAATCTTTTGTATGGGAGTATAGAAAAGTGTTGTTTTTAGACGTTTTCAGGCAATTTTTTAATTTTTTCTCTTCGTAAGAACTATCCTCGTACTTCAAGCAATATTTTAAAAAAGAATTAGCGAAATCGGTTCAGCTGCTCTCAAGATTTCCGCTTACCAACACATTCAGCGATTCATTTTCATATTATAGAAAGATAGATTTGTTACGTATTTTTATTTACTAACGTTTATTTACTTATCATTATTACGGTTCAGATTAGTTCTATGACACTCTGTCTATATTATTCCTTAGTCTGAGGATATAAACTAACTCTATTCTGAGTTTTGTTATAATTTGTTCAATTATTACAGTAGTAAGAAGTAACAAACATTATTTTATTTACTCCATTACAAACTTTCGTTCTCGAATATTAGTGTTATTTATTAACGCCCTAGTTAGTTCAGAGCCAAACACAAAGGATTTAATATCTATACTAATATTATAAAAGCATTAGTTTGTTTGTTTGAATACACTTATCTCAGGAACTACTTATACGATTTGATAAATTCTTTTTGCACTAGATAACTCGTTTATCGAGTAAGGCTATACATCATATAATATATAATCTATCTATTCCATACTAACCGTTAAAACGTACCTAGGGATGAGCCCGAGCGAAGCGAGGGTGAGCAGCTAGTCTATACTATCTATATATATAGCGAAAAAGATTCAGTTCTATATAACAAGTATATCGCATCAAAGTCAAAGGTATCGACTGGTGGTAAGTAAAAAGTTATTAGTGGTCGGTAGGTGTAAAATAAATTCCGATCCACTATATACTACCGGTTTCGCGCGGCTATGTTTGTCGAATTAATATAATATGTGAATAATTAATAATGAATAAATATAAATAATTATATAAACGTGTTGTATGTATGTATGTAGGTGAGTAGATAATATAAATACGTAAATTAAATATTTAATAAAATATAAATATTATGAAATGTGAAGTTTAATATATAAATATGATAAATTAAATATATTATGTTATAAGTCACCTACACTATAATATTATAAATGTGAAAGCGTGTTTATTTGTTTGATTGCTTGTTTGTCTTTCTTTCACGTCGAAACAGAGTAACGGATATGCGTGATTTTTTGTGTGGAGATAGTTGGAGGGCTGAAGAGTGACATAGGCTACTTTTTACTACAGAAGATTATTTCATTCCCAAAACACTTTACAACCCAAAGAAACATTTATGATCTGAATTACTTGAAACTTGGTATTAATGCTCTGAATAGCAATATAATAAACACGAGTTTCAGCATTTTTTGAAATTCATCTCATAAGGGGGTAAAATGGGGGATGAAAGATTGTATGAAACCTACCTTTTTTTTAGCGCGTGTGAAGCCGCGATTTGTGCTTATATAATAATAAAATATTCAACACAAACCAATTTGTTTCTTCAATAACGCCTACGTATCCAATCACGTAAGAAATAATGATATCTCTTAATTAATTATTTATTCCAAATGCTAGTTCACAATGATATTAAACGTTATAAAATATATAATTTCACAAATTATCACATAAAATATCTCAGGCATAATTCATTATACTAATTTATTGACATTTGACACCTTTACAAACTTTTCCATTTATATTATAAATAGGATTTTAATTATAATTACGAGTACCTCTAACCTTTGCGAGATAGATAAAAACATGTAGTCTGTGGTTAAACTTTGTGCTTTGCCAGATAGAAATTGTTAGATTTATATAATACCTTGAATAGGTTATTTTAAATAAGGCAATGTAATCTACATATAATAAAATTGTAACTAAGCCGTATTTTTTTTTTGGAAAATCTTATTGAAATAGAAATTATTATCGATATAGAGGCCGAATCTATAGTTTTTAGATTTTTGTCTATCTTCTGTCTGTAGCCGCATCACGGAAATACATCTAAAGGAATTTTGATGAAATTTGGTTTAAGAATAACTGGTTACTCGGATCAACATATAGGATACTTTTTATTGTGGAAAAATATGTATCTCATCTCTGAGAAATATATACTAAACGTTAAAACGTAAATAAGGACGAACGATAGTATCAAAATAAATCCGCGGAAAACCCCGAAAAGATAATTTTATTTACAAAGCTTCACTTTGTAACCAAAGTATTTTATATTATTCTATATAATGCATATTCATACTAATATTATAAATGTGAAAGTAAAACTGTCTGCTACCTTTAAATAAAATTTGGCAATGACATAGATTGCATCCTAGGATCAGACATAGGCTAACCATGTACCAGCCCCGCTCATCACGCGAGCAAAACTAGTAATTTATACTTGAATTACTTCCAAATATTACTAAAAAAATGTCCAAAACGTTTTTGTGAGTGACAAAAGAAATAGTATCACTATTGAGTCATCACAACAATAATTGCTAACCAACCGTATTACCACCCGTTTTTCCATTCGTACAATTCAGCGTTGCGGCAAACTTAGATTTCCCTTGGGACCAGCAATACAAGATTACTTAGACACAACGTGGACTAAAGAATTGTTTTTGTTATATTCATCCGTAATAGATACGATGCGTGTTGTATACTCTGCCTTTTTTTAGGTTTCAATTGGTATCGATTTGTAATTTTTTTGTATATTTAACCATCCTTTCGAGTAAATGTGGTCCACGAAATTTGTTTTAAAACTATTTTAGTATATAATAAATAGTGATTTATGAATATATTA